AGCTGGACATTCTGGTCCACCTCCTAGAATTAGCCATGTTTATGGCAACTTGAATATTGGACCTAGTCCTGGAGCTGGTCATTCTGGTCCACCTCCAAAAATAGGTCATGTTTATGGCAATTAATTATTATGCAAATTTTGATTTTGGAGTGGTATGCAATATGTTTAAGTACAATATCATGTGAAAGTCTATTAATGGTTATGTATGTTCATTTATGAATTAATGACATATTCTGTTTAATGTGTACTTCCTAGTTATTAGTTTTTGTATGGACTAAACATTCCAATTATTGGAAGTAGTATGCATATATAATGCCAATAATTGATTAGACTTAGTTAAGGATAAATTGAAATGCTGAGTGGGACATTTCTTTTTTAATTCGTAAAATTGTTCTTTTTATAGTCTAAAACAGTAATTAACAATGATTTTAATTTTAGGTATTTAAGAGATTCAAATTTTCTTATTTTCATAATACTGTTTTTGATAGAATTGTTTTCTTTCGTATACACCATTATCCTTGATCTCTTGAATCTACATGGTGTCATAAAATTTAAAGTTGTTGCTGAAGTAATTATCTTATATTTGGGAGATTTCAACATATATAAAACTCAAAATTACATTAAATATTTAAGAATGAAACAACTTAAAAAGTACTTCATGTCAATATGATTTTCATATATAAAGCTATTTTGTATTAAATTTGATGATAAATTTCATACTAAGAACTAAATCCGATTGAGGGATCATCTTGTACTTAGCTTCTCTATATCCAATAATAATTGTTTGCTAATGATTTGACACAACAATTAAGTAAATGATAGTGGTAACTTTACCAAATCATCCTTATAAAATATAAGTCATCTAAACATTAAAATTAATAGCATAAGTAAAATAGACACAATATGATAAATTATTCATTGTTTAATTTATAAACTGAATAGATTTTATCGGACATCCTAAAGAACAAGTAAAGATGGACTCAGGGAGTATTAGATAAGAAACTATTTATGACATTTTTTTTTAATTTGATAGTAACACAAGCAATTCCCAAGACAAATTGGCGTTTTCATGTGTACACTTGCAAATCTCTTCTTTTTTTTCTTATTAGTTAAATTATAACTCTTAACCTAACTTGAGCTTACGCCTCTAGATACATTTCTTAAAAAATTTCATGTAATTTGTTACCTATAAATAACTTCTTCTTTTTTCATAATAAACTCAATTTTACTTGTACAATTTAACAATTATCAATGGCTCGTTTTGCAATTAAAATTATCTTATATAAATATGGGAGGAATTCTACCTATACCACACTCAAAATTACAAAATTCAAATAAGAAACTGAAAAAATGAATTAAAATATTTAAATTCATGAATAGGTGCATTTTTTTTAATAATATAAGGCTAAGTATAAAAAGAAATCAATGAAGATCAAACTTGATAAATTTTCAAAAACTTGAAGAGCTAAATTCAATAAGTTTATATTTAAGGTTTCATTTTGGACGTATTACTACTCCTATTTTTACAACGGGACTAAGAAGTATTAAATAATAGCGGTAATTTTAGCTAACTATCCTTATATTAACTTTAAATCATCAAAATATATAAATAAAAAAAAAGAACTTAATAGCAAAGGTTAAAATAACACAATATAATTAATTATTCGTTAATTTTGTAGTCTCAAATAAATATAATTTGGAAGAAGTATATAAGAAACTATTTATGATATTTTTCTCAATCTAAAGGAGAAATATTGAGGTAATTGGACAATCTTTCTATGACCTCCTTTTGTACTTATTTTTTTTCTCTTTTTTTTTTGAGATTTTATTCTTAATTATATTTATAAATATTTTTTAAAAATAAAATATAAAAGAGTAAGCTTTAGGTTTAGCAATCATAAAATTCATATTAGCATGCTATAGCTATAATTTTGTTATTTATGATCCATAACAAATATTGTTTGCACTTTGCTATATATGAAACATCATATCTGATATAAAAGTCCATACATCTTTGATTTGCATATAATCGCAGGCATCAGATCTGAACAAAAGTTGCAAATATCTTTGATTTGCATAAAATCGTCGACATCTGATTTGTATAAATCACAACGATTTGTATAAATAAGGCGTTTGTGTCTAGAAAAATTGTGTTTGCATATGCCTATGGTTTTTGTGATTGTACAATTGAATCGAGTTAAAACAATTCTATTTGTTTTACAAATCTCTCTCTTTATACAAACATAAATTTATATATTGTATTTTGTATAATTTGTGAGGTACAAAACGAGGAAGAGAGAAACTCAAAACAGAACTAGGGAGGAGAAGATTCGTATTGTGTAATTATAAGTGTATAGGACGAATAGTTATACATTGTATTTGTATACATAGTTTTATCTCACTTTATACAAACACAAATACAATTTATGCATTTGGGCTTGTATAAAGTGAGAGAGGCGAAGAAGAATGGCGAGTGAAATCAGGCAGAGTGATAAGCGAGATCAAGGAGAGTGACCAGCAAGATTTATGAGGAGAGAGGCGAATAGAAAAATGGTTGCTACAAACTAGAATTAAATGAAATGATGATTATAACATTTAATTTAAATTAATAATTTTTTTTTTACATAATTTTCCCAATAAGAAATTCAATCATATTTACTATTCTAATTTGTTGCCTATAAATAACGTATTTTTTCTTCGTAAACTAACACTTCTCTTCATTCCATTACTTTTATAATTCATTAACAATTATGAATGCTTTTGAATGCTTTGATTTTCATGTTAGTTTGTGTTGTACCATGTTTTGAATCAAGAAAACAATTGAAAAAACATCATGTTATAACAATTTCCAGTCTTTGAAACTAGTAATGTTGATCGCAAGTTTAAATCCTTTCATAGTCCTGGAATGTGCCATTACAAAGAGATGTTCACGTCAGTTTAGTACAAGTTCATTAAAATGGGGAAGGAAACTTAAGAGAGATGGTCTTATTAGTATAATTTTTGAGTGTTTTCAATATTTTAGAAACTTATTAATACAATGTATTGTTTTGATATAAATATTCTAAAATTTTGCTATGGTTGAAAGATATATTTTCATGGTACATTTCTCATAGCTATTAGATATTGTTGTGCGTAAAAGTCCATATATTATAAGCTATATGTTTTCGTTTTGAAGTCGCACCTCTCTTTCGCCACAGATTATATTTATCTTTTCCTTAATATTTTGACAAATTTTCATATTTTTTTCTACTTACTTATTATTGTACAATGAATAAAAAAATATCAATTATACTTTTTATTTATTGTTATACTTAATGTTGGAGGTCTCAAATTTGAAACTCGTTAACGAAAGCAAGGGGTTTGCCTTTTGGATCAAACTCTTTGCATCGGGCTTGCCTAGTGGGTTACCTCTCCTATGTGGTTAGTGAGATATGTGTAAGAGCGAGTGTCTTACCTGTATGCAACTAAATGATAGCGCCTGCGGATTTCTCTTGTTATAAGAAAGAAAATAATAAAAACATTTGTTTGTGACGAAATTACATTTTCTTAACCACAAAATACATATAATTTTAGAGGAAATTGGTGTCATCATTGATTGAACAAAATAATTAGTGACGGAATACTTTTGTCGGTGTTAATAACCTTTTTAATGACAAAATCATTCTACTAACTAAAATTTTTCTTTTTTACTTCTTTTGACAAATAATTCGTCACAAATGTTGATACTTTTCAATGTGATTTTCGTCATAAAGGTTAGTCGTTTCATCTCAAGTGTTTCAAGATTGGTGGAGTAAATTTCGAGTTAATATCTCAAAAGGTTATTGTTAACTTTCCCATTTTCAGTTAATTCAGTTAGTTTGTTAGCATGTTCACGTGGTTAGTTAGGATTGCATTCTGTTAGTTAGTGTGTGTGTATGTGTATATGTGTGGAAAGTGTGAGTGGAAGTTAGAGGTTGTTACTGCATTTCTGTGTATATATACACCATTTGCAGCATCTGTATGGGAACAGGTTTTCACAAGAATAACATTCCTTCTTCTTCAATTCTGCTTCTTCTTCAATTCGACTTGATTCTTAGAAGCATCAATGAAGCAATTTCAAGCTTCCAGATAGAGTTTTTTCATGGTATCAGAGCAGCAGTAGATAGTGATCACATAAGCTGCAAAGAAGACAACAATGGCTATAGGAAGAATCGATCCAAATGATCCTCTTTACATAGGACCATCAGATGCTTCAAGTGCAGTTTTGATTCCAATCAAACTCACAGGGCCTGAAAACTATGGAGTGTGGAGTAGATCGATGAAGATTGCTTTGACAGGAAAGAGGAAAATTGGATTTGTTACAGGAGCTTGTAGCAGGGCTTTGTATAGAGATGAGTTACATGAGCAATGGGAGACATGTAATGCAATCGTATTATCATGGTTGATGAATTCAGTTAATGAAGATCTGTTAAATGGAATAGTGTATGCTACTAGTGCTTATACAGTTTGGCAAGACTTGAAGGAGAGGTTTGACAAAGGCAATCGAATGAGGATCTACCAATTGCACAGAGAAATCAACACACTCTTACAAGGTACTGAATCTGTTTCATCATATTACACCAAACTAAAAAACTTGTGGGGGGAATATGATGCACTTGTACCATCTCCTAGTTGTGCTTGCCCAAAGTCCAAAGAGTATGCTGATCATCTGTACCAGCTCAGATTGATTCAGTTTCTTAGTGGTTTGAATGAATCGTATGAACAGGCTAAGAGACAGATTTTGCTTAAAGGTGTTACTCCTACAATTAATCAAGCTTATGCTATGATTATAGAAGATGAACTACAACAACAAACTGCTTGTGTGTCCATTTCTAATAAAGTTTCTGATGTAGTTGCTATGAGTGTTAACAAAGGAAACAATTATAATCAAGGTAATAAGAACAATAAGGGAAGGAGATGTGAACATTCTCAATACACAGGGCACACTAAAGAGAATTGT